CTCATCAGCAAATCCGTGATTTCCTGATTTGGCCTGGTGAAGTTCACCAGGACAGGCGCCGCATGCTATGAGCTTATCAGGACTGCTGATAGTTTGTACGCCCTTCCATCTTGCTTGCATACAGAGCCTACTTACAAGGGCATGGCAGCGGCCACCAGGGCTGACAAGGACTGGTATGAAGGTGTTGTCTCATAAATTATAGTTCTACTTCTGATTCCTTTTAATATGGGCATGTTGCATCATGCGCACTCAGGTCACTCGAAACGCAAAGTCAAGTACCTTGCATATTCGCGAATGACTCCCTTCCTTCCTACGCTGGACGCGAGTGCTCAAGTCGTGATCGATGGCCATCGATGGCCTGCCCTAAATTGCCAGCTCATACCCGACTTTCCATCACCAGGTTGACCAACACCCTTCAGTACGGTACCTACCCTCACCGATCTCCCCCACCCTTCCTCTTCACGTAGTGCGCAGAGTTCCCGCAAACATCTGCATGCACAGCGCGCCCAATAGCATGGGACCTTCAAGGCTTCGGCGATAACGAGAGGTAGTGATCGTTGGTGGACATTTTATGTAGAGGACTGAGGCGCAGCGCGCGGTGAGTTTGATATCTACTGGTGAGATACCAGAAGTACTTCTCTAGCATGACTAACATGTGTAGTCTGGGAGCTGCACTCGTATGAGCCAGTGAGAGTGACATGCCGATTCAGAAATTGGCATGCAGTTCCAGTGAGTCTTGTCAGTCTTGGTACACATTTGTGCCCCTTGGTCAGCCCTAGTATCAGCATAGTATGGTATGGCATGCTGTTGTCGCTTTCCTTCCAACTTCTGTGAGTATCTCTCGCATCGATTTTTGTGAATGTGATACCCTCATTTGACACTGTGACCAGAGGTGAGTCCCCCTTCCAACGAACTTGTGAAGGTTAGGCTTGTGAAGGAGATTATCCCCTTTAATGGGGGATTTTTAGTCCAGGCGTCCGTGTGCATGCACCTGGTATGTAATGATCATTTCCGTAGATACCCCCGCTGCAGTTTTCACGCGCAAATGTCGATATTCACCAGTACTCATACTGTAGCATGTAGATACAAATGTCATGTAGTAGATAGGATTCTGATTCATAATATACATCTGTGAACTCCATCCAATGTTTGATAAAGTGTAGCAAATTTATAGAATGGCAGGGCAGTGAAGAGGACACTACGCAAATCTTCAGAAGCCCTTGCAAGGCTCCACCAATCCTTGTAAGGTCGCTCGAGATATGACAACCTTACCTGGATTTGGGAAGTACATGGTGGTTATGGAAGGGCTGGTGGCCCTGGTGGCACCTTGTGAGATTTGGCGACTTTACAAGGCCTTGTATGGCCTTGTCAACTTTTCACGGAATTGCTGATGCTCGCACCCAGTGCAGACGTTTTGGCAATGGTAAAACAGGGTAAAACCCGGCCCAAAATCAAATTGACTCTCCAGTGTTTGAGCGCGCGTGCAGATCGATCACGATCGGAAGCGCCCATCCTGCAATGGCGATTATTCCACTCAACTTTTGTGCATCCGCTGCCTGTGCGGGGTAGGCCAACTGTTTAGTATACCACAACCACCGCATAGATCTAGCAATCGTCTTTATCTCCTCCAGAAGAATCGCAATGGGTCGTTTACGTCGTTCCAGAACTCACCACGCCCAACGAGATGTTCACCGTGCTGCTCGGACGAGGGTAAGTACCTACTGGCATCCTGTGAGTTTGGAGAGGGTCCAAAGCTGGGTTTCTTAGGCTAGAACGAGGGACCTGGATCAAATTCAATTAATTGACCTTGACCCGAAGGTGAGCACTGCGACCCATTTTTCCGAAAAGCACTGAATTGATCCCTGTATAGAACCGTGCTGCTTTAGAAGCACAACCATTAGATTACGACCTACCGGGACTGGGACAACACTACTGTGTGGAATGTGCAAAGTAAGATAACTTCTATTCATTCCGTGACATCGCATACTCAATCTATGCAAGGTACTACGAAACCGATTTTGCCCTTCGATCACATTGGAAGAGCAAAGTGCACAAACGGCGGTGTAAAGCTCTAAAAGAACCCGCGTACACCATCGAAGAAGCAGAGAGAGCTGCGGGATTAGGTCGGGAAGGCAAGCGGTCTACAACCTCCGCTCCTGCTCCAGCATCAGAACCGGAGCCTATGCCAGTGGAAGAGGATGTGGCCATGTAGATCTGGGCAGGTGAATAGTATCTTCATTCATTAACTTCTTGATTCTGAACCTATCTTCAGCATCCTTGCATAATCTCCTATACCACTTCTTTTGATCACATTCTGCGCCTTTGCACTGCTCGCTCGAGCTTCATGCAAGCAGTATAAGCTGCGCACGCACAGGCTGCTACCTCTGGAGTCATGACAGTCGTGGCAGACCCCTTAGACCAGAACTCGTACGGATTATAAAAGTTTATATGGAGCTATGTCCAGTATGTATAAGCTATTCCGAGGTGTCTTCGCCAAGTCGCCTGGGCTATTCGATGGCTCAAAAACATAAAGTACGTTACTGCGGCGTGCTACATGCTACTGCACTGTGCGTGTAGTTGAAGGACCTGGACTGAAATGCGATCTCGTTTCCGGTCGATTTAATACTTTTACTTTCTTGTCACACATTTTCGCATTTTCGACGGAGCTGAACACAGAGCTGGACTTACCTTGGAATCGCTCACTGTCTGAGCTTCTGAGGCTATCATGGTATTGAACGTCGGTTCGAGCAATAGGGAATCGTTGCCAGTACATGACAAGAATATTGTCTTGGTCTCTTGAGGCAAAAGAGAGAAAAAAAAGACAAATGACAGGAGGTCAAAGATTGGCCAACGCCGGGATCGAACCGACGACCTTGGCGTAATAATCCAGATATTAGCACCACGCTCTAACCAACTGAGCTAGTCGGCCATGGGAGTAAGGAAAGTATGCCGTTATATGAACCTTTCTCAAGCGAGCATTTCAACCTAACCATAAATCATATCGACGCGACGCGAGACAAAGCAATGTCTCTTCAAACATACAGTACTAGTACGTGACGTAGCATACACAATTAATATCAGAGGATATGACTACAATGTCTGTGGTGGTATAAAGTGAAGCGAATAACCTACAAATCAAGAGATGAAGTGAACGACATAGGGCAATTAGTTCCAAACTTGAGAATGCACTACCTGCAACCGCCAGAGCAAGCGATGATACACGAGATGAGCAGAAGTAAGCCGTCTTCGAACAGCCTAAGTACCTGTACACTGAGATACACTTACTTGGCAAACAATCTAAAGGTCTTTCAAATTGACAATCGTCCCTGCTGTTGGAGAGTCGGCATCTTCTTCCTAATATGGCATCGTACTTCCGGTTTCAACGAAGGTGGAGCAGGAACGACATGACTGTCATGACTAGAGGCGAAGGTGACCACTGGCAGGCCTTTAAACTGGCCGATGATGTCGTTCAGAAACCGCCAGTTTCGCCACTTGTCGACGAACGCCATTTGCTTTGCTTCATTGGACTCCAGAATATCAAAGACAATTTCTTCAAGGGATGTCGATGATTTGGGAAGCAGACCCAGGATTGTGATCGCTGCCTCCCATGCATGGGGATATGGCTCTGCCCAGCCAAGTATGGACCAGGACGCGCCGATGTAGAGGCTAACAGTCTTCAGCTGCTGAAAAGCGGGTACCTGCACGTCGCAGATCCATTGTGTAGGTTCCTTCACTATACAGCATGTGTGAGTATTTCACACGAATCAACGTACAGGAGCAACTCACAACTCCCACTGAGCACACTTTCTCGAAACCGTCGGAAATTGAGCCCGAGGTGCGTCAGGGTTGGGGCACAATCCTTAAATATTCGCCGAGCTGCGCGAATATCACCGTCCGTGGCGAAAGAAAGATATAGCGTCGTCAATTGATGAGCGGGAATGAGCGCGCTCAGAACACGGTTCAGCGGGTGGTCACCGCAAATCATAGTCAAGTGGAGGTGGTCGATGCAGAGGTTCGGGGGCGGGGAAAAGAAGTGTGCGACGTCAGCATGCCTCGAGAACCATACAGCGTTGCGGCAAAGGGGCCTGTGATCTCTGCTGTAAATCTCAAGGTCCTCTATATGGCCAAAGAGGCCGAGAACCGCGTCTAGCGGGGACCCGTAAACGGAGGTCTCACGGACACGAATGTCAACTAGCGATAGTCTGACGAGATTTACTGGACCAACCTCGACTTCTTCTTCGAAGACGACTGGGCGGAAGAAACGGGCAGGTACGATGAAGACGTCGTTCAAAGTCAGGGTTCGAAGGTTCACCGTATGAAAGAAAACTCTCGCGAGTGTCATTGCATCGACCGGACAGCCCCTGCCCCAATCGAATGGCCCTTGGGGGCGCTTCAAAGACAAGTTCTGTATGGCAGGACCGACCGCAGGCCAGTAGGGATCCATCGCAGAGTTGCGAAGCATCTGCACAAGTTCTTCCATATCCTTGACCTGGGGTTGAAGAATGATGGACAGGTGGCGGAATAGATACAATCGGGCGGTTGGAAGCCACGTTCTGTGAACGAGGCTGCATGTTTTGAGAGCCTTCTTGTCGCGTCGAAGGTGATAAAGAATGAGTTCTACAATCGCGAAGTGCTGCAGAGAGCTACGGTTTCCAGAGGCGTCATAGAGTCGCGACATGATGAATCGGATGGTTTATGGAGATTGTGGAGATTGTGGTGACATGTCAGACGCATTGAAACGCAGAACTTATATAGCGTCCAGTTCATCTTTGTGACTAAACGGCGCATATCCGTGTTCATTGTCTTGAGAGGCTTGTCCAATGCTCCAACCAACGGAGGTTGCCCAGTGCTGATGATTGACGGAAGAGCCCCAGTAGCATCCGAGGAAAATGTAATCTTGTGCCATATCATTGTAAGATCCAGATACGGACGACTCCAAGGGGCTTGTATGCAGTTTGACCCAGCAACGCGATGCAAGTCACGCCGCTTTCCAGCGCCTGGACAACCTGAATCATTATCATGTAGCCACTCGCGGCAACATTGGTACAGTGGACTATGAGCTATAGGGAATATATCATCATGGTTACCGTTGAGTACAGTGGCAAGGCAAATTGCAATGGCATAAGTTTAACTTGAACTTGGCTCTTGAACAAGAAGACTTTTGGGACCTTGGGCGGCTACCTTCATGAGTGGATGGTAGCTTACGTAATGATGTTTCCTCCAAACTGGGCCTTGACGAAGTGTCCTGCTCACTTTGCACATTCCTACTCAACGGCTCGCAATGCTGTCTATCCTCGGGGGAGCCCCCCGGCATAGCGCTCTTCAGGGAACCTCAAAGGCGGCAGCGGGCTCGCTGACTCAAGTCCGAGGATATGCCCAACCAAAAGCAGCGGTAGCCAAAACGAGCCGTACGTGAAACGTACTTCTCCAACAATGTGTATTGAACGACGTATGTTGGAATATAGGTCAGGGGTTCAAGAAGAAAGGAAAACCTACCCCCACTGCTCTAGATATTGAGAAGAGGACGAAGCGGATATTCGTGCGTGGCACGCATCCCTGATTCTACAGTCCATTTACTGACAATATGTTATGTAGTCCTTCAAGCCCTTGCCCGCGAGTAGATTGGGACACCCCGTGTTTGAGGCGGGGAAGACTGAGTCTCTGGATTTGCCCGTCTTTCGTCCTGTACGTATGTTTGCTTACGATACAGTTGACGTATGCTGAAACTACCACAGGATCATTTAACGGAAGAACGAGCTTTGGGCAAAGCGTTTTCATTCCCTGCGGACGACAAGGCACCAATCAAGATCTTTGGCCTCCCAAAGAATCTGTCGCTTGAAGTTCGTCCACAGCCATAACCCAAGCGTCCGGTTTGTCTGACCAACATACCCCTCACAGTACAAGATTCTGTCAAAGCCTAGCACCGTTGTTCGAGACGTATCCTTGACAGCCTTTGACAAACTAGATGCCGCGAGCATGTCGTCCAGTCAGGAGAACCGGATAGTTCTTAGTGAGTTGAGTCACGTCGGAGTGTGTCAAACTCATTGAGCATGATGATGCAAATAGCTGGATCATCTGGTGTCGGAAAGAGCATCGTTCTTCTGCAAGCAGTGCACTACTGCCTGGCTAGAGATTGGATAGCGCTATATCTCCCAAGAGGTATGCTTTCACTTCGTACAAGTCTATAATGCAATCTTAATACCTCCCGTATAGCTTATCGACTTCTTGATTCGTCAACGCCCTATGTCTATGACCCCCGCACACGAACCTACGTTCAGCCAGAATTTAGTTATCAACTCCTCATGCGTTTCCAAACCGTCAACTCCAGCAAACTTGACGAGGTGAAGACTTCGGAGGAGTTCCCTATACCTGAAAAGGGTTCTCTTCCTAAAGGTTCTTCATTGAACGAACTGGTAAACTTGGGTTTGCAGGATCACTTACTTGCTCCAAGTGTCTTCGCCGAGCTCCTGACCGAGCTTTCGAAGCAGGATAAGTAAGCACCTTGACCTCTATTGGGAAATTACGACTTTCTCATTCATCTATCTTGAAAGGTACCCTGTACTATTGGCCATAGACGATATCCAGGCTTTGTATAACCGTACTACCGGGTATCGCAACCCGCGCTTCGAAGCTATCAAGCCATACCATATTCACATTCCTCGTCTCCTTCTGGAGTTTTCCAGTGGGAAAAGACAACTGGTAAGTCTCAACACGGCATTAGATATATTGTAAGTCATCCTCACATTCTTGCCAGCGTCGTGGTGCAGTGCTTGGAGCCATTTCCGAGGGCCGGAAACACTTTCCTCTTGAAGTTGAGCTCCGTGAGGCCCTCGGCATTCCTCACGACCGCCCGACAGGCCCATATGTGAAGCGTACACAAGAGATGGTTGAATACAGTCAGGGTTTGCAGAACCTGGCCGTCCCTGAGAAGCTGTCTGTCGAAGAGGCCGCCTCGATCTTTGAGCTCTGGAACGCTGATAAAGCGTTGCACTCGGGTGCGTAATGTGATCTTCACATTGTGTCTTGTTGACTGACCTGTTCTTCAGCTCCGGATGACGAACTTTTCATGACGAAGTATAGCGAGGCTTCGGGTAATGCACGAGCATTCGTATGGAAGGGTCTTCTGGCGACTCTATCTTCATAGTACTGGTTTCTTAATGATACACGTAGATAGACATAATATTCGCTGCATGGATATCATGTGAGATTCGACTCTTGGAAATCAACTCGAAGTCTCGATTTTGCGAAACGCGAACCGCGACGAATGACGCGATTTGCCCCAAACACGGTCACGTGCGATAATGTTCGGGCGCGTACTAGCCGAGCCTTTGTTCGTTTCTGCGCTCTCCGCCTAAAATGTCTCGGCTACCACGACTTCAATCTGAACTCAACGCTGTTGGAGGTACTGCGTCGTCGCTGGCCTCGTCCTCGACCTCAACCTCCATCATGAACCCTACAAGCCTCAAACGCAAGATGTCTCCCGACGAAGGGAACGACCCGCCCAGGAAGAGGCTCGCACCGATCCCGGAAGCCAAACAACCTCTTCAAGATTCAAAACCCGGCACGAACGTTACAACCAGGAGAATTGCTGGGCCGTCCGCTCTGACTAAACCTCAAGCCCCTGCCTTCACGACACGACGCGTAACTCGTGCGACGAGTGCCCCGCCAACGAGGCCGCCGACTACAACTACCCGTCCTGGTGCAGGTACAGCCAGACCAGCTGCAGCAGCTAGAAAGCCGATCTCCTCGAGGGCCACTACTGGCCCTGCCAGACGAGGTACTGCTGAAGATCAACGATTCCAAGCATTGCAGGACCAAATGACCAACCTGGAAACTGCGCGAGTTGCTGATGCTGCTCGTCTAGCTCAGGAGATGGAAGCCGAACGAGCCAAAGTCGCTGAGCTGCAGGAGAACCATCTTGCCTTGTCT